AAGGCGCTGTTCAAAGGGCAAGGATTGCAGTTATAATTGCAGGATCGAGCTGCCTTTCTGCTTAGTCCCAGGAATTCGACTCCGGCTGTTAATCTGAAGTTGCTCCTTACACCCTGAACCTGTGTCCTTTTCTCCTCAGCAAACCTGAACGTCTTGCTGGGATTTTATTCTCTATCATTCAGCGCGGCTGCACCAGAGCTGACTCCAGTGTGTCCTCACAATCAGACCAGACTTTGGCGCTCACTGCAGTGAGCAATCCCGCTCGCCATGGTCTAATACAAATGGAGGAACAAGCGTGAGGGGCTGAATGGCCTACACCTGTTCCTATGTGTGTGTGTGTATATATATATATATATATATCCAGAACTCTGCAGCTCGTTTCCTCTCCCGCACCAGGCTCCATGAGCCCATCACCCCCATCCTCACTCTGTTCCACCCCATCCCCCAGAGGACTGAGTTCAAGCTTCTTGGGAGAGATGAGAAGATGTGAGGGTTGGGGGCAATCTGTGACACAGACAAAGTGACTTGGCTGTGCATAGAAAGAAAGAGAGAGAGACAAACACACACCAATAGTCAGAGCAAGCAGACACCGAGGGAGCCGGACACAGAGAACCGGAGAGACACAGAAGACAGAGACACACACGCACACACAGTCTGACGCGGGTGGTGGTGGAAGGAAACAGTGAGTTCACAGGCTGGAGTCAGGGTTTCATGTGATCAGTGATGGCTTTCTGTGTGCGAGCGATTAACCATCACACAACCTCCTCGTGCTGCCTGCCTAGTGTGACCTTTTATCACAGAAGGGCCAGCGGCCATATTCTGTCACTTCTTGAATGTTCCGCACTTACCTGCAAAGTGTCAGCTAACAGGGGCAGCCCTGATCACAGACAAGGCCTTGTGACAGAGCGTCCCCTGTCCAGCTCTCAGACTTACACTCTCAGATGTTATGCATTTGCTCGCACCGTCATGGATTTGCATGCTGTTATTTACAACTCACACACTCAGACTTGCACACTCACAGTTCCGCATACTCACAGACTCGCACGCTTGATGATTTTCAGTGATAACATAATGTGGTAATATGTGAGTGGGTGAGAAGGAGAGAGAGAGAGAGAGAAAGAGAGGGGGGAAGGAGATGGAGCGAGAGATAAAGACACACACATAGTTAGAAGATGCTGCACAGATTGAATCTCGGGCCGTGTTGCAATGCTCTTCCCTTCCTCTTTCTCTCACACCGAGCCCCATTCACACAAAGAAGCTTATCGCAGGCTCAGTGACAGGGAGCCTCTCCCAGAGCTCACTACCCCAGGCTGTATCTCCTGGACGGGGCTGGGGGACAGAGTTCTTCCGGGGCACAACACTGCCGTGAAATGTGTTCCTTCAAGACGGCTGTAGATAGAATTTTGGTAGGTGAGGGTATCAAGGGAAATGGGGCCAAGTTGGAACCCGGTTCTTAGTTCGTTGGCGGATTCCTTTGGGGATAATAGTAACCCCTCTCCCCACCCACAAAAAAAAATGCGGTCACTCAATCCACGGCTGTTTGTGGGATACTGCTGTGCGCAATTGGCTGCTGCGTTTCGCCCACAAAATATACTTCACACCTTCGCGACGTCTCAAAGCACTTCACAGAATATACTGTAAAGTGAACTGACTGTATATTTTAAAGGCAAGTAAATGGAGTTGAGGTACAGATCAGCCGTGATGTAATAGAACGACGGAACAGGCTTGGGTGGTTGAATGGCCCACTCTTGGTCCTATGCTCCTATGACACAAGAGCCTTTGCCCAGGTCACGTCACAGCCAAGCAGTGCCACGGCACCCTGCTCTCTGCCAGTCTTACACCCGTGCCCACCATCAGCTGCTAAACCACACCCTCCAGATTGCCCACAGCGAGCATTCAGCAACATACGAATTGCTAGATGAAAAAAAGACCAAGGCCCATCTTGTTCATCTTCTCCCACTTGCTACAATAACGGAGATGTTGATAGCAATTAATTCTGTACAGGAAATTGGGGAGAGATCAAGCTACTCACTATTCAGTGAGCCGTTAAAGTAACGCTGCAGTGTGAGCAGAATGTAGAAGCTCACCCACACACACACGCTATCTACTCAACAGCAGTAACTCTCAGGGGAGTGGGGTGGGTGGGGGGTGGGAAGTGTAAATGTCTGGGGTTTGGGCTGACAGACAGAGCCCTGGATTTCCCCTAGGCTCTAGGGACACTAACACCCCCATCGCTCATTACAGGAACTCACTTGACGTCATTTACAGTCTGGCTCAGTTACAAATTGTTCAGAGTAAAGCAGATGTGAGAAGCTCAGCCACAGAGGGGGTGAGAGAAAGAGATTGAGTGTGTTACAAAGACACAGGGACAGTGAGGGAGACCCAGGGACAGTGAGGGAGACCCAGGGACAGTGAGGGAGACAGAGAGAGAGACACGGGGACAGTGAGGGAGACCCAGGGACAGTGAGGGAGACCCAGGGACAGTGAGGGAGACAGAGAGAGAGACACAGGGACAGTGAGGGAGACACAGGGACAGTGAGGGAGACACAGGGACAGTGAGGGAGACACAGGGACAGTGAGGGAGACACAGGGACAGTGAGGGAGACACAGGGACAGTGAGGGAGACAGAGAGAGAGACACAGGGACAGTGAGGGAGACAGTGAGAGAGACACGGGGACAGTGAGGGAGACAGTGAGAGAGACACGGGGACAGTGAGGGAGACAGAGAGAGAGACACAGGGACAGTGAGGGAGACAGTGAGAGAGACACGGGGACAGTGAGGGAGACAGTGAGAGAGACACAGGGACAGTGAGGGAGACAGTGAGAGAGGAAGAGGGAGAGCGAAACAGAGATACAAAGAGAGAGAGAGGGAGGGAGACCAAAACAACAAGATTGTAGAGCGCCTTTCACGTCGGGAGGACGTCCCAAGGTGCTGGACAGAGTACAGCATTTCAGCAAAAGAGAGGGAGGGAAGAGAAACAGAGAAACAGAGAAAAAACACCAGAGTCAGAGAGAGTGAGCTATAGAGAGACCGAGAGATACAGAGAGAGAGAGAAGGAAAGGGGGAAATAGAAGGAGGGAAGGAGAATGAGAAAGAGGGAGACACAGAGATAGAGGGAGGAAGGAAGACCGTGTTAGACAGGGGGAGAGAGAGAGGGGGAGAGGGGATGGGGAGCGTGGGAGGAGAGAGGAGGGAGAGAAAGAATAGGGGAGAGAGAGAAAAAGAGACAGAGACGGGATGGGGGGGGGGGGGGGGGGGGGGGGGGGGGGGGGGAGGGAAAGATGGAGAGAAAGAGAAGGATAGAGTGAAAGAGAAGGGGAGAACCCTTGTGCACTGCGAGAATTTCTTTCACAGAGATAGACTGTATTTAGCAGTTTCCTGTCACTGAGCTCTGCTCGTACGAGGGCTCTTCCTGTGCACAATCATTGCCTCACAACATGTGTTGTGTGCAGCTGCTCCCCCCTGCCCCCCATTACGCTGCGCTCACACTGCCCGGCCCGGCCTGGATCAGCACGGTTTATACTCCAAAATCAGGGCTAATTACAGCAACAAAATATTTCTCATCAACCCACCCACCCCCACACACACACACACACACCATCAATAGTTGGCACACACCACGCACAGCCTGGTCAGTAAACAAGTGCAAATACTGGATAACAACAACAACTTGCATTTATATAGCGCCCTTCACACGGGGTAGCGTCCCGGAGACCCTAACAAGAATTGGGGTGGGAGCATTCGGCCACCTGTCCGAAGGGCCTCCAGGCTGCTCGAGGGGCCTGGGCCCAGCTTGACAGCCTTGACAGGCTCTGCCTTTCAGAGCTGTGTTTATTCTGAAAAAAAAGGCTTCTATTTATACCATATTCTTGAAAGTTCATTCGTTGGCTGTCAGGGGATGAGGGACCAGTGGAATCTGCCGTGCTCCGAGCAGGTCGGGATCTGTTCAAGCGTAGCTGGAGCAGTGCTGACAGAATGCCACAACACATTGTCCCACTCCCGGTCTTTAGCTCCAGCCACAGTGAGCAGCGTTACACGCTGATACACGCTGGCCCTTGTCAGATTACACAACCCACTCAGCCACAAAGGAACATTAACACCTCTTCAACCTCTGGGTCTAGATTCCTCTGTTAAAGGTATAGTCCTTGCATTTGATATAGGGCCTTTGTCACGTCGTTGACACGTCTCAAACCGCTTTGCAGGATATACTGTGAGGTGGATTGACGGAGTATTTTGTGGGCGAAACGTGTCAACCAATTGCGCACAGCGGTGTCCCACAAACAGTCGTGGATTGTAGGTGACCGAATTTCCCTCTCTTAGGTGACTGAAAGGAAGGTCGGCCTTTGTGTAATCTGACAAGGAACAGGAGGGCTTTAAAAGTGGGAAGGAACGGGAGCGAGTCGGAGAGACTCGCAGTCACCCATCTCCACCGCTGCCTCACCCCAACGCAGTCCTCGTCCCAAGTCTTCATCACCTCCACACTTTAGCTTCTCCAAAGCCCTTCTCGCTGGGCGTCCCAGCTCCGCCGTCCATGAGCTGCAAATCGCATCCTCTCCTACACCAGGCTTCGCGAAAGGAGAAGGTAGTTTCTCTCTCCCGGTGTCCTGGCCAGTAATTCCCCCAAATAAAATTGTTTTGTTTTTTTATCTGGGGGATTGGCTATTTGTGGGCCATTGCTCTGAACAAACCGGCTGCCCTGTTCGGCCACAAAATACCAAATCGCCCAGTCACTACACTTGACAGTAAAATCCTGGGAAGCGTTCCAAGACATCCTCCCAATGTGAAAGATGCTGTACTAAGTGCACAATCGATTCCGACATTTGGTGATAATCATATCCGTTTGGGAGTCAGTCCAGCTATGAGGAGAGGACATGCTTAACCACGCCCCACCCACCCCCCCGCCCCCAACACAAACATGTATATACACGTGCTGTACCCGGAGCTGCTGTACACACACACGCTCGCTTGCCGTGCGCTGTAGCTGCCACAAGTCCTCTTACCTTCCCAAAGTCTCTGACGTCAAAGAGGTCGAAGGGGTCAAAGAGCTCGCTGTTCCGGAGCCCGAACTTGTCGTGACAAACCTTCAGGAAGGTCCGGATGTTCTTCAGGCAAAGAAACTACAGGCAGAAAAAACACACTGTGTTACACACAATCCCGTAACCTCCTCAGTTCAGTCAGCCAGTCGAGCTTTCAGAACTACGCCCCGAAGCTTTGGAACTCTCTCCCTCAATCCCTCCGTCCCCTGCCTGAAGACCTTCCCCTTTGAACATGCTTACAGTTACCTCCTCCCTCCCCCCAGCATAGTGTTGGACTCCGCCGCAGTTAAGCGCTCGAAAAAGCTCCCTCGTGTGAAGGGTGCTATATAAATGCAAGTTGTTGTTAATACCAGACAGTCCAAAACAGTCTCTTCCCGTCACAGGAACTTGTCTCTCGCCCATCACACGATCTGCCCACAGACTGCTGTGTCTCAACTACACCCCAGCCACCCCCACCTCCCAGTTCTCTTTTCGAATGCTATGGTATCTTTAATATCCACCTGAACAGGCAGACGGGACCTTGGTTTAACAGTTCATCGAAAGGACAGCACCTCCGATAATGCAGCAATCCCACCAGCACTGGAACTAGTCTATACTGTGACCTCAAAGTCCCAACGCGCTGCTTGAACCCACAACGTGCTGACTCCGAGATGAGAGAGTGACTGACGATGGGGTTAAAGAGGAATCTTCAACGTCCCCTGCAGAAGAGAGGCAAGGAATGAACAGTGAGGGGGTGTGAAGGCAAGAGTCCAAAGGCTCCAGGTCACTCAGCAGAGAGCCAGACTGTCTGACGGAAATGACACCCACTGGAGTGTAACACAGGCCAACAAGGTCTCTGCTTCTTGTGCAGGAGCCAAGTGTGTCAGCTTGGCTCAGTCCCTCACACGCTTACCTACAGGTCTGGACATTGTGGGTTCAAGCCCCACACGTCAGGGAATTCCAGCTACCAGTCTTGGCCAACACTTCAGGGCGGAACCAGTGAGAGCGTTGCATTGTTAGAGCTGCTGTTCAGGTGATAACTTAAACCAAGTAAAAATGGACTGAGCCAAATTGGCGATCCAATGCAGTGCTGGGGGTGGTTTCTGTTGTTGGAAGCTCCATCCTGCAGATGAGACACCAAACCGAGGTCCCTTCTGCCCGGTTAGGTGGATGTTAAGGGTCCCACATCCTGATTGGAAAAGTAAAGAGAGTTTCTCTCTCCCTGTGTCTTGGCCGACAACTCCCCAGATTAATGATCGTTCACTCCATGGCTGTGTGTGGGACGTTGCTGTGCGCATAATGGCTGCCGCGTTCGCCTACAAAATACGAGAGTCACTACGCTATACAGCAATTCCCTCCGTGAAACGCTTTGCGACATTTCGGCGTTGGGCACCTATAAAAAGTGTGAGTATTGTACACAGAGCTGTGGAAACAGCAGGAGAGTCTGAGTGAGGGGTGAGCAGTACTCGGGAGTTACAGGGTGGGTGGGGGCTGCCTGGGGGTCTCAGACACCACCCCCACCCCCTACCACCTCCCTCCCCGCCAAACCATCCAGGAATATTCCCACTCAGGGAACAAGACACGTTGCGATTCCATCGCTTGTGAGAAAGCTGGCTGGAGAGACTGTAAGCAGCACCACGAGGGAGCAGAGCTGATATTTCTGTCTTACAATCACATCATGACACCCCTCCTCCTACTCATCTCCTGCAGGAGCCACTGCAATCAAATGTCCTACACCCACAGCGCTAACACAAGCCCCTTAACCCACATTGTGGGTCTCTCAGGGTCAGGGAGAGAACAGCAGAGAGCAGAATGACTGTATCCTGCTCTCTGGCACTGCTCAGATCCCGACATTCCAGGATAACACAGAGCCCCTCTGATGGATCACTCTGAAAATATTCCAGAAAATAAGATTATGAAAAATCAACACTCCGAGAGCGAGAGGCCACAGGCCCGGATTGGAGGCTGAGCTGAGCTGTCCCTGGACACGGACGGATCCATATTTAAACCTATTCCCTCCCGTATGTTTGTCAGTAATCCCAGGGAGATTGGATAAACTAAACCCTGGAGAGCAGACGGCACGGGGTGGGGGAGGGCGGGGGTTGAGGTAGTCTCAGCTGTTTGCAGGGAGCCTCCATTAGGCAGTTGAGTGGAGCTGCTGCGGAGGTGCTGATCTGCACCACATGCCCAGAGCAGAGAGGGCAAGCTGCCCCACTTACCATTAATGCTGAAAATTGCCAGTTATTAGCAATTAGCTCTGGGCTTCTAACGACCCAAATCCCCGACTTAACCAAACGCTCATTCAATTATGGCCTTTATGAAACACAAGAACGTACAGCTGAACGACAGCCCGCGCGTGTGTGAGCCCGCGCCCGTGTGCGAGAGCCCGTGTGCAAGAGCCCGTGTGTGTGTGTGTGAGAGCTTGTGTGGGTGAGCCCGTGTGTGTGTGTGTGGGGGGGGGAAGTGATTACTGATTGACACAGGAAGCTGCCCTGGACAGGGAGAGGCTGTGTAGCTGGCGAGTGGGAATGATGGGTTTACAAGAGGGAAAAATAAGCAATCGAGCCCAGTTCAGCATCACCACCCCTCCCACCCGAAACTCGGCCTGTGGGGTCATCACAGAGAAAGAGAGACTGCTCAAAAGCAAACAGCTGCCCCCCCCCCCCCCCCACACACACACACACACTGGGAGTCCCTGACCTACTACACAACAACAACAACAAATTGCATTTATACAGCGCCTTTCACATTGGGAGGACGTCCCAGGGTGCTGGTCAGTGAAGGGTTTATACCTGAACTGTGGGCTGGAGTTGGCGGGGGGTGTAGGGCAGGGGTGGGGGGTAAGGGGGTTGGTGTTGGGAAGATAACCAAAGGTGCGGTTGAAGAGGAAGGTCTTGAGATGGGTCTTGAAGGAGGACAAGGGAGGGGGCGAGGCAAAAGGGGTCCGGAATGGAATTTCAGAGGGTAGGGGCAGAAAGGCTGAAGGCCCGACCGCCGATGGTGGGGTGGGCATGGCGGGGGATGTGGAGCAGGCTGGTGCCCATCGAGTGGAGGGAGTGGGAATGTTGGTAGGGTTTTAGGAGGTCACAGAGGCAGGGAGGAGCCAAACCATGGAGGGCTTTGAAAGTGAGGACAAGGATCTTAAAACTCAATCCTCTGGGAGGTGGGGAGACAGCGGAGCAGGGTGCGGATAGGGGCGATAGGCTCATGGAGAAGACACGAGCTGCAGAGTCTGAATAATCTACAGCTTGTGGAGGGAAGAGTTGGGTAGCCTAGTGAGCAGGAACTCTGCATTCTCTCTCCCTCACCTCCCAAGGCACCCTCACTAACCCGGGGCCACTGGGGTCTCCTCTCTCCGATCACTCCCCGTAGCCCCCCACCCCGCGCTGAGACCAGTGACAGCCTAGAGCGGGGGTTGGGGCCCAGTGGGAAGCCCAGCTCAGTTATTTATCATTTGCCAGAGCTTGGCCTCTTGTTGGGGGGGGGGGGCGGGGGGGGGGAGGGATGGGGGGAGAAGAAAGCCCCGCAGAATGCAGCTTCAGCCCCGGCCAGCGCCTCCAGGCCCAGACACGGCCCGAGCAGTGAGTCAGGCGTTGTGGGAAGAGGGTGTGGGGAGAGTGGTGTCTGCAGGGAGCCCTGGAGCCGAGCTGGACCTCAAACATTCCTATACATTCGCAGCGACTGCGGCTGACACACCTCCCTGCATTCACACTCGGGTTGAACCCTGGAGCCACCCTCCGAACAAGGCGAACCTTTCTTCCACTTCTCCCAGCAACAGGGAGCTTCGGAGCATCAAATTTGCAGCAGCTGTCGTATCTCTACTTACTGCATCTCACAGCGTGTCACAGCACAGCTAACACATCCCACAGAGTAGCTGTGAGGACTCCCACTCTCTTCTCTCCCCCCCCCCCCCCCCCCCACCTTATTGAGAAGCCTTCAGGTGAGGAAGTGGAAGGAGCTAAGATCATTTTCAACCCCAATAAAATGCAAATTCAAGGTGTCAGCACTTGGGATCTCGCCTCCGAGTCAGAAGGTTCAAGCCCCGCATTTGAGCTCACAGTCCAGGCTCTCACTCCAGTGCAGTGATGGGGGGGGGAATTGCTGCCTTGTCGGAGGCGCCGTCCTTCAAATTAGATGTCAAACTGAGCCCCCCACCACCTGTGCCTGTTCAGGTGTGCGTTAAAGATCCCATGGAGCTGTTGGAAAAGAGAAGGGAGTTCCTCTCTCCTGGTGTTCGGTCCTGGCCGACAAATCCCCGAATAAAATTGGTCCCTCGCTCCATGGCTGCTGCCAAAGTGGCCTACAAACATCCAGTCACTACACGTGACAGCAATTCCTGGTTCGGCACATTTTGAGACATTGACGTTATAAGGTGCCAGATCAAAAGCAGAGATTATTATTGTTATAATCAAAAAACAAACGCTGGAATTATAACTGCCCGGGAGTATGAGTAACGACACAACATGCAAAAGGCATAAACGCAATCTGTGTGATGTCTCAAGGCAACACAGGGCATTCAGCAACTCAGTTCTTCACACACACACACACACACACTCACTCTGCTGCCTCTCACACACACACACACGGACGCACATGTACTGTGGCCTGGCTCAGTCACTCACAGATGCAGTACACGGTCACTACACTTCGCAGAAAAAAAATACTCTATGAAGCAGTTTGAGACACTGCAATGTGACAAGGCTCGAGGGAGATCAAATGCAAGGAATAATAAATCGGTCTTCTTCATTTTCCTCTCCTTCTTCCTTCCCCCCACCCCCTGGTCCCTCCCCTCAGTGAGATCAGTCACCAGGTGCCTGTGTGAACATCAGGGCTATGGCAAGAGGTCAGGCTGTGTGTAAATGCCCGTCTCTTGTTTTGGTTTCCAGTGGCCCCAAGGCAGCTCCTCACTGACGTTTAACGTCAGAACTCACCAGCTCAGCTCATTGCACCGCACCACAGAGCAGCTCCCTCTTAAAATAGATTGCTCAACCTCAGGCTCCCGCTCGCAGTGGGAGTGCTGAGCGGTGCTCTGATCGCTGTATGAATGCAAATTGCCTTGGAACATCCTTCCGACGTGAAAGGCGCAATGTAAATGCGATTCG